TTTAACCATTGTACACCTTTTAGAGAAAAAAGATAGTGTAGAATTTACTCCAGATCCAGCAGGCAACGAATACTACAGATATAATGATGCCATGTCACTTTGTGTTTACATAGAAAAGGAAGAGTACACCATTGATATCATCAATTGCTATACACATATTGAAATACATTTAGATGAGTCCAGCAAGGAATTTTGTCCACAAATTCGAGACTTAGTTACAGATGCTATCAAAAGAAGGAGTAAAAATCTCAAAGTTGATAAAAGCCATATCTTTGCATTCAAGTGCCTTCAAAATAAACAATGTTACTGCATTGTCAAAGAAGATTTGTCTTCTACTAAATGTACTCAATGTCGATCACACTGTAAAGTACTGCAAGGTGATGATGATAGCTACAGGTGCTGGTTTAGTGATTGTCAATCATTCAGTCCAAGTTAGTGATGCACAATGAAGAGTATTCTGGTGGAGTACCACCATTGATGTATTGGCATTACTTTTAATTTATTCAAGATGTAAATATTATTATTTCTTAGGAACCAAAGCATCATTAGAAGATCCACCTACTAAAAGACGCAGATTAGAATTAAGTAAATAAATTAATAATAAATAGCATACTTTAATCTGATATAATTCAGACACTTCAGACCGGTTTAGAAGAGTTTCTGATAGACTTGCAGGTGTCATATCATCTTGTCTGAGCACAGTGTCAGGGAAACTTAATGCTAGGAGACTGATAGCACAGGGGCTACATGATGAAATGATTAATGGTCGGGATATTGATTCAAAAAAAGCTCCCAAGCTAGTACTTGTAATACAGACTACTCTTGATGCCCAGCCTAATCCTGAGACATATCTAAATGAAGTGTGCTCAGCATTGAAAGATGTTGGAGAGAAACAAATCACTGATATAGTGAATGAATTGGAACGTAAGTTAAAATAAATTTCATCAGTAACTGACATTTTATGATACCATTATAGAGAGTAAAACAGATTGATCCTGCTAACATTATCAACTGCTGCATCAAATAATTCATTAGTTTATGGTGTGCTTTGAATTTGAATTAAGTACATTCATTTGTTTGTGTGATTTTTCTTATATGCCTGTTTATTTCGAAAAATTTGTTATTTTAATTGTTGTATCGAATAGAAGAAGTTGCTTGAATATAGCCTTGCACATGTCATGATAAAAGCCCAGAAGTTATTGTCCATAATTTTAGCAAAACATTATTGTACATGTGAAAGCACGTGGTTTGATTATACGGAGTATAACGGAAAGTATACTGAAGTGGGAAGAGGAGTATTTTCTTCTTTAGAATGAGTTCCATATATATAACAGAGCCCCCTACTAAAGGAAAGGTAGTTAATCCAGCAGCAGCTGTATTAGTGACTACTGGCCCCTCCCTCAGGTACTATTAAAGACCACACTGGGTGATATTGATATTGAACTGTGGT